GACTCTTTTCAATGCACCACCCAGATCTTTGCTCTGAATCCTAGAGACCATGGTGAGGAAACATTGTTAAAAACAAGTGTGCCGTGTGTACACATTAGCCCAAGACGAGTCTCCTCTTAATCACTTCACTGGTGTCCTGGTGACCGGACACAGTTGAGTATTGTATTTCCAAGGTTTTTGCTGAAAAACTGTCTCTGAGCATAAACCAATGATTGGCTAACTTTTGTGGAAATGCAGTCAGCCATGCTTGTAGATAATGTCAGAAGACTTGTGTAGAAGCAGCTTTTGTTTCAGAAAACGCATTGAACTTCTGTGACCTCTGCTATTATTGGATTAATGTCATATGTGGCAATAGTGTGGTAATATGTTAGGATCATAAAGGAGATCTATTTTATTTGAAAAGCAAATAGTAGGGATTGAGTTGATGCTTTTTTTGGAAAGCCCTCACCGTAGGAAAGTTATATTTTTTGCCAAATAACTCTTAATATTGGAAGTTTTATGATGCTACTGAACATGCTTTTAAAGGTTATTGTAATACATAATGAGATGCATCGTGGACCATGAATTGGTATTAAACAGTAGAACATCTGAATTATGTAGGGATTAGATTACAACCAATCTTTAAAGTGTGTATTTTAGATTGTGATTTTTACCCACTCATTCTAACTCTGCCTTTGTTTTTCTCTAGTCTCAGAATTAAGGAAACGTTTTGAAAGTATAAGCACAAGTCAGAGTTGGGACATGAACAGGTGAGAAGTTAAATCATTCTCCTAAAGCCTGCACAGCCAAAGTTCAGTTAACGCAGGTGTTCGGCAAGAATAACAGAATCACAAATTTGTCTGCATGCTGTTATTGCCAGAAAATATTTTAAGTTCACTCTCACTACACGTTTCAAGCTGCATGCTTTTTTAATCTTTAAAGAAGCATGCATACCCAAAAATAGCAAAATAATTAAATGGCGTATAATGAACTCACTGTACATGTTCAAGTGTAGTGTACATTTTGTCAGTACATTTATTTTTGGAATAAAGTATTACTTTTATTCAGCTTGGTCATGTTAAAATTGATCAAAATTGACACATAGATGTTTACATTTTTTTTAAATATAAATTTTAGAAAAATGTTTTTTATTTTTTTAATTTAAAAAATAATTCAAATAATTTTTTTCTCTTCGTTGCAAGAAAAGAAACTCAATTTCCACTAAATTATTCAACAGCACATCTGTTTTCAGCATTGATGGTGTGAAATGGTTCTAGAGTGTGATAATATGAAATGTTTCTTTATGCTATACATTTTTTCCCTAGCTAAAGAATGATCCTGACTTGTATTTCTTTGACCGCTTCTGTTTATAGGAAGGAGCGAATTGCACGGCGCCTGGAAGGAATCGATAATGATGTTCTCCAAAGTCTTCCAGGTTGTGGTGGTCTAGTTTCTAATCGACTGCTGGAGGAGGACACTCCAAGATATACCCGTGCAGCAGACACCTGTGACCCCTGTACAGGTGGGAAATGTTTTTTAATTATATACATGTATATCCTATATACATTGTAATAGATTTCATCATTGATTACATCATGATAAAAAGTTTGGTTTAATTAGCTGGTGCTAGGTTACTTAAAGTATTGTAGTATACAGTTTATGAGATTATTCACAAGAGATCAATCCAAACACATGGAAACACTCTTCAAATTTTGTTTTTGATATCAGGCATGACCAAACTGTTTATACTATAATAGTTAACATTTGTGGATCACAAAGTGGATCAAAAAAATTAAATAAAAAAAAAAAACTAACAAGCATGGATGATTTAACCCTCTACTGCACGGTGTAACCATATCGCAACATGATACTTGTGTTAATTTCCCTGCCACTGTTTTTTAAAGACACACATTAATTTTTTTTGGAAAGAGAAGATCTTAGACTAGCCAATGATGTGCTTTGGTTAAGTCACATGACATGCTGTGTTTTTCTGTGGTGCGAGTTCTGACAGACTGGCGTTTATTGTGAGTAGTTGCTGAATGCAAATGTAAACGTCAATAAAAACAAAGGATCAAATTATATCAGATCCATAAAAAAAGTCTGAAACCTCACCTCCAGTAAGTTATGATGACTCATACACAAAAAAATGAATAAATAAATAAATAAATTATGTTACGTGTTTATGATGTTAAATAATTAAAGGGATGATACGTAACAATCAGTGAGTCTATTGATGCTGGGTGAATGAGGAGAAGACGCATACGCTTGATAATTAAACAAAAAGTAAGTATTTATTAATGGATAATGTCAAACAATGAATACAAGATGGAAGATAAATGTAATTTTAAATAATTTTATTAAATAAAGAAAAATAGGAGTGTTGCCAAAACAAAGAAATAAATATAACAAAACGAACTAACTAAACCCCAACCCACTAAACTAACTGAACAAAGAAAAATGTAGAAACAAAACCGTAATCTTCAGCACGTAGCTTAACTAAACTTCTTAACTCCCAAACATAATTACACATGTGGCAACAACTCCAAAAACTAACCAATACAAAATTTTAGTAAGCTGCTCGAAATGCTAGAATTCTCGTAAAGTACACACTGTTAGCCATTAGCAAAACAAGTTCTCAGGTAATCCAATTCTCATAAAAATCGTTCAAAATCTCACTATACATTAACAAGAGCAGCACAAGTTTAACTGATAAATCAGGATAAACAGGGAGAAAACTAGAAAACAGCACTCGCAAACAAATCAAGCGGAACAAACAAACAAACAAACAAACAGTCCGGCCGACACAAGTGAGGAGATTGGCAGGCCAAGCGATTCTCCAGAACAGCGCAAGCGCACCGGTTTTATACTGCGCGGACACGATCCTTATTGGCGCGCCGATTTAGTGACGAAGGTGAATGACAGCTCACCCGACCAATGGTAGCACACCTGAAACAGGATAGGACCACAACGAGAGAGAGAGAGAGAGAGAGAGAAGAGCGCAAAGCAGAAAACAACAAAAAATACTACAAAACATACGTGAAACGTAACAGTAAACGTCAATAAAAAACAAAGGATCAAATTATATCAGATCCATAAAAAAAATCTGAAACCTCACCTCCAGTAAGTTATGATGACTCATTCACAAAAAAAAAAAAATAAATAAATAAATTATACATTTGATCGATTTACAAATAATTTTATGTGTTGCCAAATGGCAACACTGTACAATGGTGGAACGTGCTATATTGCAATGGGTTAGCTAGCTAGCAAGGTCAGCTGTGATCTTTAAAGTTGTAACAATAACAACATGAAAGCTAGTAATATAGTGTTTGTTTAGTCATGTGTTAATGGCATTTGCATTATAGATAAAATCTAGTTTTAATGGCAATACTACTTTTGAATAGATATAAATACAGGGAACAGTGTATTAGCGAGCACCACCATGTTCTATGGTAAGTGAAAGAAGTAAAGAAAAGAACTGGCTGTTCCTGCAGATAAAAGCGAGGATGTGTTTTAGTGACCATGAGAATGATGCAGACTGGACATTTGACAGAGACAGTTCAGATAAGTTAGCTCATATACGACAGGCTTAGTATAGTAAAATATACATAAACATTGTTAGCTAGTAGCTACATTATCCTGATGCACCTATATGTATTAGACTTGTTATTTGTTATAATATTTACTGGAGAAAATATTTATATTTACTGTATGTTGTATACATGGTAATACAATATTAGGTTCGTTTTTAATAATATTCAGCAAAAAAGAATGGAGTAAATGAAAGCTGTTGGAATGAGTTGTTGAAAAATATATATAAGGTGTAATTTATAAGTTATGTGTTAAAGCTTATAATACTGCAACACCAATTAAATAATATCAAACAACAAAATTATTAATTATAAATAAAGTTTTAAATTAGAAATTTCTATGTTAGAACCACTGTTGGACGTTGTTGCCATATGGCAACATATCATAAACTAATTTTTTTATTTTTTACAGCACTTCAAGTTAAGCCATTCTAAGCCATTTTAATAGATTTATCATAATGTGTGCGGTAAAAAAATATACATTTTCTGATTCTCTTTAAATGTTGACTACTGTAGATGCCAACTTGGTCACTCTCTAGGTTAACTCACTTGTTATTATTATAGAATGATGCACCAGCAACATGCAACCACTGTCAAGCTTCCCACACTATAAAACATATTTTATTAGAATGTGAAATTTAAAAAGACTTTTAGACAAGATTTCTGTACTGAGAGCACTTTAAATGTTTTTAAAAATGTATCCTCATGAAGAATTATAATTACCATGTATATGGACTGAAAAATCATATCTAAGGTTTTTGATGTAAAAATATTTTATTTTTGTTTATTGTATCGTATCTTATTGTATCATATCTTATTGAATTATGTTGTTATTATTATGTAATAGGCTTTATCTTTATTAAAGAGGCCCTATAATGCGTTAAAAAGGGTCATATTTTACTTTTAGGGGTCTTCAACATCAATCTGATATACATGCAAGGTCAAAAAATACTGTCTTATAATATGCATTTATTTTTACCTAATTTTCCCAACGACTCTCATGTGATTCGTTCAGCGATTCATTTGTTACCAAACCGCTCCTTAGCGTGGGGCAAATCTATGCTGATTGGTCCAATGACCCAGTCTGTTGTGATTGGTCGACTGCGTTCAGCACGAGACATTGAAGCAATGCAGTTTAACACCAGCATATTGCTTTATTCTTAACCATATATCAAAACAGTGACACACATTCAGTATTAATCCACAAAGTGGCAAAATATATAAACATTCATTGTGTTTAAACATGCCATTATAAACATCTTTCTCTCTTTTAAGTTTCTCTTCAGCACTATGGCAAAAGTGAACCAAGTTCACAAAGCACAGATGTTCCATCCAGAAGTTACGCAGTCCACCCGGAGTCTGTCTTCAGCACTGGCTCCTCTCATGTGGCAGAGCTGGACTCTAAAGCAGAAAGGATTGCACGCTACAAGGCTGAACGCCGCCGTCAGTTAGCAGAGCGCTATGGCATCTCTCTAGATCAGGAGATGGAAACAGACTATACAACTCGCTTCTCCAGACCCTCCAGAGAGCTTGATGGTTCAGACAGACACCACAGGTCAAAATCAGAAGGGAGAGATGGAGTCGAGCAAAATGCTTACACCAGCAGCCATCATGTGGATAAGAGCAGCTCAGACTATCACTCCAGTCCAGAGTACAGCCGCGAGCGCACAGACTCCATCTCAGAACGTGAAAGAATGATGAATCTGGAGAACCAGAGGAGGGCACAGGAGCGTGACCGATTACATGGAGGTGGAGGGGTTGCACCTGACCCATCTGCGTATATGGATGTGTCTGGATCTGCAAGGGTACCAGGAAGGGAGCCAGGGATGATGGGAGTTCCCAGCTCACCCAATTCAGGCCGAAGGGGCTTGATGCTCTCTCCCAAACAGGGAGCGTCTCCTGGTGATCTGTTTATTGAGCAGCAGGCTCACAGCATCCTCCAAAGACACGGGTGAGTCTTCTCTTCATGATAGATGTTTCTTAATGTGTCAGTGTCTTCGTTTTCTTCTTTTTTTCTTTCCTTTCTTGGAAAGAATGTTGGCCGGTATTCCCCTGAATCTGTCTTTCACAGGTATTTCCCCCTAAAGAAAGCCTTCAATATTTGGCTTGCGTAGTGTTTGGAGTGTTTCTACAGCTCCCTAAAGATGGGTGGGCTCTGTTCAGCATAACATATCATCCATTAGCTTTAACCTTTAATGTTCTTTGGCAATGGATTCTTTATAGCAGGGGTCAGTGCTCTGTGACGCGTTGGATTTAAAGTGCGTGCCAAATTAAGCAACAAAAGATTCCAGCAGAATTAAAATTCCCAACATCAAGCCAAAACAAATTACAAATGATTATGATAAAGAGTGATATTCAGGAAATACCCAGAGCACATTCATAATGTCAGCATGAAGTTTGATTGGTTACTTAAAGTGAATAAATGAGGACTTCGCCTTTAAAACCCAATTCCCTGTAGGCTGAGCTCAGTTTTCATACTGTAAGTTATCTGAGGCCATACTTTTTTACAGAAAGCGTTTTTCCTGAAGACCTTTTATCCTCTTTTTCTACTTCCAAATGTTTGAGTGGTTCACTCTCTGGGTGTTTTTCAACTAATATATCTCCTGTAGTCAGTCATCCAACCAATGGTCCCTTCAGACCGATTCAGAAGGAGACACCGTCTCTCCAATCAACTGGCCTTCCAGGTACCATACGTTTGGGATTACTGGGTGTGATTGACACCCTTCACTTTAACAGTGGTCCCGCCTAACCTCATGGCCTTATCTCAAACCATCTTTTGTCCTGTCCTGTAAATGTCCTTGCTGGTATGTGAGATAAAAATTATGATTTCTAGGGGTTTATTAGACACCCAGTGAAACTTAGCAAGAATGCAAGTTTCACTTGTAGTTTAAGGTGTGTTTCTACTTGTAGTTTTAGTACTTTAGTTTGTTTTGTCTGAACTGAAAAAAATAAGAAATAAAGAAAATTAATAAAGAACTGATGTCAAAGTTTGTTTTAATCAAGCCAAACAAGCCAAGTGGGAACACATCCTTATTTTGGCAACCGTATTTATTCTGGTGAAATGGATACATAAAGCAACTAGTTTGTGTAGTTTGTAAGTGATCTTTGTAATCACTTGATTTAACAGAAAATTAATAAACTCCTGCACAGTGACTGGAACTAGAACCTGCTAGTCAATCATGCAATGTTAAACTCCTGTTTTGATGTTTTTGTTTATGAATTGTAATAGTATTTATTTTTATTTATGTGTTTTTTTTATTTGATGATGGGTAGTAGATCTCAGATGTATAGTAATTTCAATAAGGACATAATTATATTGAGTGTCAGAAGATTGATACGATAAAATGTTGGGAAGCCAAGGTCTAGATGTAGGCTTCTTTGGAAAGGTACAGGACTCAAGGTGCGGTTTTGAGTTGGGCCCATCATCTATAGTAACAGTGCCCATACTTGTACAAATTTCAATCACCCATCACATCCACACTGTTAATGAGTGCTGTCGGATTGAATTTGCTCATTAAACATTCAGACCCTCTCATTTCAGTTTACCCTTAACACTTCCTAATCTCATTTTAGTCACCGTCCTCTCTTCAATTTCAGTTCTGTGTTTGTGTGGTTTGTTCCTATACCACAGCTATTATATATAGTATTTTAGTACCTGTGATTTAATCAAGTGTGACCTTTTGAGTTTGGGGTACTGCGGTGGAAGAGAAAATTGTTCAGCTCTGAGTCACCAAACTCAACAAGAATGTAAACTCAGATCATTCGGCCTGCATTACCTCAATATGCCAAATGGAGAGTGTGATAACCTGATTAGTCATGCAAAACACGAGAGCCAAGTTTGCCGGGAGTCATTTCACAAGCAAATTGTATTCCCATTTTGCATCAGTTTCTCTTTTTTTTCCCCCCCATTTCCTCTCATTCTACCTTTTTAACTGCTCTGCAGACATTACTAGTTTAATAGTTTAATTAGGTGTGCTTACATTATGCATCCATCTATCTACAGTATGTATACATCCATCCATCCATCAATCTACTGTATGTATACATCTATCCACAGTGTATGTCTCTCTGTCCATTTTATCTATTTACATTGGCTGCCTCTTTTGATTTGTTTGTCTACAGTGTCTGTTTTTCTATCTGTTCATTTGTCTTTATATCTGTCTGTATATTTGTAGCCACTGTGCCCATGTCTGACTCCATCCATCCACCCATCTACCTACATTTTTTGAACAAACAAAATATTTGGCCACATTTTATCACTTGCACTTTCTAGTTTTGACTTGAAAATGTCCTTCACTTAAATGAGGTTACAAATAGATCACGACTCAACAACTAGAGTGTATATCTTGGTTTCACCTAAACAGGGGTCCAATGGAGCACCACAGAGTGCACATTACCATATGTGAAATCCAAGAGTGAGTGAATAGATGGAATAAAACGAGCTTGGGTCAAGAAAAATGGCTTTTAGTTGTCAGATAAGTGTGGGATTGAACTGAACATGATAGGAAAGCAAACATCCGTCATGTTAGACATAAATAGGGCATGACTGAATGGTTGTTTTTGAAGAATCAAGCTTTACTGTGGGGGAATGTGTGCAAAAGGAAGAGTTAAACAAAAACAGAGTTCTGTAACCCTGCGTTAAACAAACTTCTCTTAGAGGCATTATGGGATGTTTTCTATGTGATTTAATGTGATTTACTTCACTGGTAGTGCACTAACTGCAAAAGGATTTGGATGAGATGGTCTTTTGCCTCTTCCTGCAGAGAGCATTGATTTTGCTGACCTAAACCTAAAGATCCAGTCATCACAAACTAAGCTAGTTTATCAGCAAACCTCTCACACACAGCATGCAATGAAACGCTGTGTAGTGTGAAATTAGCTGGGTGTTAGGATACCCATAGCTACACATTTATAGGAAGATACATGGGGAGAAACTGATTTAGAAAACACAAAGCAGCATCAGTTGTATTTTTAGGCAGTTTGTTTGTGAAAATGTTGCTAAACTCCATCTGGAAAGGCTGCGTATGTACAAAAAAACCAGAGTTAAAAAAAAAAAAACATGTAGAAAATATTTCATTTAATACAGATTATATATTTTCCATGTTTTTGTTTAATTAGTTAATTTAGCTTTGTTACTATGTACATAAAATATTCTTAAACTTAAGATTAACATAATTATTTAACAAGTTTACTTTGTTTTTACACTTTTTTTTTTTTCCCCTCACACAACATAAATGGCTAATTATGATATATCTGCCCTTTTTATTTTAGGAATGGAGCAATTATATTTTAGGCATCAATTGGTGGTCAAAAAAACCACTGATCCAATAAAAGGATATTTGCTTAATGTTTTGACTGTAACTCCTATTTTGAGACTTTATAAAGTTGTTTCAAATATCAGCGTTCCTGTGTTTTGCTTCATGATTTTGTTACAGTGAGCACAACCATTTGCATGTGGTTCTCATTATTTCAACCACTGAAAACATCAACTTTAGGGCACAGTTATTGTGTCTGTGTTTTTTATTCCAAACACTGTCAACATTGCTTTTTTAACCACTCAAAGCACAAACCATACTGAGATGCTTCAACTAGTTCTGTGGCTTAAGGGTTGTTTTGGATTGGATCGGAATTTTTTGCTGCCAATTTTACATCCAGGCCCATAAAATAAAAGTTCTGTTATTTTTCTTTATTTGTTTAGTTGTTTAATTATTTGTTTTCAGAGCCGGTGACTATTGAACTCCATTTAATTCTAAGTAACCAACCTTTTTCTCTCCTTCTGAAGAATCAGAGTTAGAGAGCGACTGGCCCGCGATGAGCCATTTCACAGGGGTCAAACAACAGAGGAACCTGCTTACAACCAGTCATATCTTCGTTATTACCCTCACTCACAGAGCCTCCTAGATGGTCCTGTCAAACAGCAGCAACTGACCCGTTCTGAAAAAAAGGAACGCCATGATATGGGTTGCCAGAGTTACTTCTCCATGGGCAGCGAATCCACTTCCAGGAATAAGCAAGAGATTCAGGAGGTGGTTGAAGAAATGGAGGGAAAACATGTTGCGAGGACTGAAGGTCTTCTGCGGAGCAGAAAGGCAGTTTTACCTTCTGAGATTCGAAGGAAGGAACGGAACACAGACGATTCATGCTCTGGAAGTGGTGACAACAGGGAGGTAAGCTCAGCTATTGCTGGGCACAGGAGCAGCGAGGGTGCTGCAAATGACCCCAGAGGGTGGCATGGAAGTCGGGCAAGACGGGAAGTTTATACAGAGCACGTGTCTCGACTTCAGGCTGCAGAGTCTTTGCAGGCAAGAGCTCGAGAAGCTCATAGAAGGCCTGATGCTAGCTGCTGCGCCCCAATCCAGACCTCCAGTGCAAGACCAATGACAAATTCATCTAAACCCATGGATACTGGAAATACACAAAAAACTGTTCTCCCCATCCAGGAGCCAATCAGAGAGGCTGTCCAACAAGAAAAAGTGCCAAATGTTGATCACCTGTCCCATGATGCCAGGGTTTCAGTAGCCCATCTCCGCCACACATACCTGCAAAGTGTTGCAAGTCCCCGGAAAGCCGAACTGTAGGTGGTGGTACATTATCATCATCCATAGACTACTAACCTGTCTAACATGACGATTAACATGCAGTTAATCAAATACTCATCTAATAGCTGTTTGGAGAATGAAGCGAAAGAGAAAACTGTAATCTAACAAGAGTCACTTACTCAGAGTTGACCAGTAGATTGCACTGCTCTTTTCCTTCAGCTATTGTGCTGCTCAGCTTGTCTAGTGCACACTTTGTCCATAATAATTAACCACTTCTGTCTGTTTTACGTCTTATCCTACTTTGTCAACCTTGTCTTTCTAGAGATGATTGTGTATGTTTATGCTAAAAGGGAATAATCCTTAACCATTCTTGTTGTCTGTCTTTTATTTAACCTACTATAAAGATGCTACAGTATATGAAAAGTTTCCCCTGCATTAGAAGTTTGCTTTTTCTTTCATGCCTACTTGCCATTCTTCCTCGCTCAGTCGTACTTTGTGGCATAATAGGGCAGAAGAGCTGCCTGCAGTTACAGATGTACCCTGGAGAAGCATGCGAGTCAGAGATCGGTCATCTCGTCGCCCTTTGCGATATATATGTCCCACTGAAAGTAGAAAGACATCTGAGAGGTTTAGAACACAGCCAATCACATCAACCGAGCGTGAGCAGTCGGACCGGTAGGCCTCACGAGTGTACATGAGATTCATGCACGTTACTGGAGTGCAAATTAAAAAACACACTTGATTTAGCCTAATAAATAATGTTTTAACTTAATGATGAATAATGTTTTGACTTGATGATAACCTAGAGCACTTTGACTGGAAGAAAAACTAGCACTACTGTAGTTCTAACTGCACTGCAGTGCACTGATTAGTTAATATTTTGCTCCTTATGTAATGCTGTCTTGCCATTTTACACACTGTGTAATGTTTTCATGTGCAGTGGATTCTAATCCAAAAGTTTGGTCAGTGATTTTCATGAAAGGTTCTTTTGTTTTGTTTTTTCGTCCTCTGTTTTTGTGGCATGTGGTGAAATCTATAATTCTGTCTAACGCTGTGGATTAAGCAGTGCTGATTGTGTTTTCTCCGCCTTCTCACCATAGTTGCTTTATTTTCCTCATTCTGCTGCATTTGTCTGCTGACACTATTGCTAATTTATTTATCTTTTTTTTATTTTCAAATCGGCTGGTTGACCAAATATTGAATATTTTTTATTAAGGAAAATGATCTGTTTTTTAAACTCTAAACTTTAGACCTTTTTTGTGGTCTTTTTAGGTCTCATCTAAGCTCTGAACCATCAAGCCCTGAGGGTAAGTCTCAATTTTTTATGCACGCGCTACAAGATGTCTTATCACTTCCAAGTTTAATGTAGCATAACTTTCTATTATAACATTTTAAAATAGACCGCAAATAAAGCTTGCTAGTGTGACTTAATAGCTGAACATTATAAGCATGTAAAGGGGCAGGATGACACTGTAACATTACAGAAGTTACAGTAGCATAAACAGGCATGATTTTGCATATTATATGGTATTGTTAATTTAAGTCTAAACCGGAAAGAGGTTTAACTTACAAAAGCTCTTTAAAAACATGGCTCTGTGAGTGTAAACTGAAGCAGTTGACTGTGCAGTTTGGCTGAGTACCCATGAATACTCCAGAGAGCAACAGACCTACTTTTTTGGAGCCTCTGGATCTCTGGTAAAACTAGTATTGCTTTGCGTTTCTATCTTTGCTGCATGTGTAAGCATTGTCAGCTCACTATGCAGTGTTTTCGTTTTTACTGAAACAAACATAAAATACAGTTTAAAATAGATTGGTAATGTTGCCTTTATTTGATTTATTTGAGAAACATTAATGCTATTAAAGTTTAATACAACATTTGCAGTTGTAATATTTTGTTTTTAAATAAATAACATTTTTTGGTGACTTTTTAGCAAACTTTTCTACAGCATAAGAAACTTTAGTTATAAGTAGGCCCACATGGAATCTGTGCATGCAGAAATTTGCAGATTATCACAGATTTTGAGCCCATCATTGAATCTATTTATTTACTTAAATTTATATTAATTCAGTTTTTAAATTAATTTTAGTAATATTATTGACTGATATGAAAACGTTCACATGATTTATTTAGAATACAGTTTGTAAAGTATTATTTTCTGTCTTGTAGTAAACATACAGTGCATCCGGAAAGTGTTCATAACGCTTCACTTTTTCCACATTTTTTTGTCACAGCCTTATTAAAAAAATGATTAAATTTATTTATTTCCTCAGAATTCTACATACAATACCCCATAATGACAATGTGAAAGTGTTTCTTTTTTTAATGGTTGCAAATTTATTAAAAATAAAAAACCTGAAATTTCTCATGTACATAAGTATTCACAGCCTTTGCTGTGAAGCTCTAAATTAAGCTCAGGTACATTCTGTTTCCACTGATCATTCTTGAGATCTTTCAGCATCCCCATCATGCTGTGGGGATGTTTTTCAGCAGTAGGAACTGGAAGACTAGTCAGGATAGAGGGAAAGATGAATGCAGCAATGTACGGAGACATCCTAAATGAAAACCTGCTTCAGAGTGCTCTTGACCTCAGACTGGGACAATGCTTCATCTTACAGCAGGACAATGACCCAAAGCACACAGCCAAAATTTTAATGAAGCGGCTTTACATCAATTCTGTGAATGTCCTTGGGTGGCCCAGCTACAGCCCAGACCTAAATCCTATTGAACATCTCTGGAGAGATCTAAAAATGGGTGTACACTGTCATTTCCCATCCATAGAGCTTGAGAGGTACTGCAAAGAAGAATTGGTAAAAATTCCCAAAGACAGGTTTGCCAAGCTTGTGGCATCATATTCAAAAAGACCTGAGGCTGTAATTGCTGCCAAAGGTGCATCAACAACGGATTGAGCAAAGGCTGTGAATACTTGTGATTTTTTAAAAGTTTTTTATTTTTAAAAAATTTGCATTTCAAAAAAAAAATTTTTCTCACATGGTCATTATGGGGTATTGTGTGTAGAATTTTAAGAAAAAAAAATTAATTAAATCCATTTTGGAATAAGGCTGTAACATAAAAAATGTAAAAAAAAAGTGAAGCGCTATGAATACTTTCCGGAATCCAAATGCTCTTTATTCTATGAGAGACTTGCTTTGTTTACTAAATAAGTGGAGCTAATTTGGTTTGCAATGTTAACATTAAAGAAAAGTTAAAAATGTGATGTTATTTTTTTATTTCATGTATTAAGTTTTTAGTTATGTTACTCCCAAAATCATTCCGCATAAATCTACAGATTTTTTTACAAAAATTCTAAAAACAGCAAAAAAAAAAAAAAAAAAAAAACCTCACCAGATTCTGTCCGGCCCTATTTATTAGTGTTTAAATGGTTCTGCTGTTTCATTTCTTTTTGGAAAACCATGGTAAATGTAAGGATTCTTTGAAGGAATATCATTTGTTAAAGTATTTTGCAGCATTATTAATGTCTTTATTGTCATTTTCATCAAATATTTAAACATTAGTGTATTTCTGTATCTTAATGTGCTGCCTTTATCTTTTAATAAAAAGTGACTTTTTATTCATATTCTGCAAAGTTTAAACTATATCCTTGATATTTTTGCGTAAATCCTTAATTGTTTTGTGAGCAAATGGTTTAGCTCAAATTATAAGACTTTATGCACCATCATTCATGCTACATGTGTAAAACACACACTGTGCAATATGCAACAATGGATTTTGCACTATTGTGGCTTTTATAAGTTAAACCTGAATCATAGCATAGAAGCAAAAATCTGCTTGCATAATCTTTCTGCTATGTGTTTAGCATTGTGCTGTCCTCTGAAAGTCATGGAGTTTCAAAAAATATATGAAAAGCCTTCTGACTCATTCTTTTTCTTCTATTCTTTTTGTGTTTTTCCAGTGGATGAAGAGAAACTAGATGAGAGAGCAAAGCTGAGCGTAGCTGCCAAGCGTTCCCTCTTCAGGGTATGTGCTGCTTCAATGTGTCTGATCCAAAGTGAGCTGCTTCCCTTGTTTTTTCCTTTCTTCATAGGGAGCATCCTGGCCATCATCCTTTTAAGGTGGCCTTTATTGAAACATCCTCCATTAGTATAAACTTGTCTATTTGAAATAAATATTACCCCTTTACACAAACCATATATACAAAGCAACTACAGCTTATAGTTTATGCTAACAAATTCAAAAGACATCAATGTTTGGTGAAATGCTGCAGTTTAAATGAGATGCGACCAGTCTTCTGATGATTTTTGTGCTGTATAAAATATGCAATTTTGTCATCCTGCCATCTGAATGAAAATGAAATATATCTTTGAGCTTGTCCTAGTGCGTTCTGGGATAGGCTTATCCATGAAGGATGGATTCAGTGCTATTTTACATTTTCTTTTGGTGTCTGTTGTTTAAAAAATAGCCTTTGGGTTCGTTCAGAACATGCTGTTGATGACTACCAGCTTTGCCTACGCTTAGATGTTTTGGTTTTCAAATGAATCCTGTCTGTGGTGCTACGTGTTTATACAATTTTGCATTCCAAGAGGTGCGCAAAGAGGACACACCTCAGTCCGTAACTCTGCAATTATCATATCATGCATATTTCTAAATTCCTCAAAAGTGACATCTGAAAATGTGAAAAATGTGACCAAAAAACAATTTAGTGAGTGTGATTGAAAAGGGAAAACATTTCTAGAATTTCTATCTTAACAGTTTTATTATTATTATTATAGTATGTCACAGTGTAGAGATTTTTACATATGATGTTTTACTGTTTCTTAGGAGCTTGAAAAGACTTCAGATGGTTCCGTTTTAAAGACATGGAGTCGTAATCCTGCTGTTGAGCGGAGATTGAGGAGAGGTCAAGATCGATCCCGCACTCAGCCAGTCACCACAGAGGAAGTAGTTATTGCTGCTACGTAAGTTTGTGTGACCCATGCGACCCCGTTCAATAGTTCAAGAGAGGCCTTTTTTATTTTTTTTGCAAAAACATGGTTACAGTTTGACCTATTCAACATTTACAGTCGACATGTTGAACTAATATGAACTATTATGTCTTTTCTTTGCTTTCTCATTCCATTAAAACCTATTTTTAATACTTTTTAATCCATTTTAATCATTTTCATACCTTGTTGTTTCATTTTGTTATACTTGTTTCTTTTATTCCTGTTTATGCAAAGCACTTTGAATTAGGGCTTGGAAAAATTGGAAAAATCTTGCAATATTTTTTTATTCTGCAATACATACTGTATTAGATATGAATAGAATTACACTAGATCATTTTTTAGGGTGATTTGGATGATTCTGTAGGGGAGTGCATACAATATAATAAACAATCTAGAAGCGTAGATAAATCTAATAGAGAAAAAGATACAAATTAAATAAACGGTGTCTTGTTGTTTTCCAAGGTATGCAGTAAATGAATAATTAAATGTAAAATGGCAGAGTCTTCGTTTTATAAACAATTTGTAAAAGTTTACAATAATGTTGTATTAGTTAATGTTAGTTAATGCATATATAAATAAACAATACATTTATGACACTATTTGTTCATTTAATTAGCGTTAGTTATTGAAAACACTGTTGTTCATTGTTTTTTCATGTTAACTCATGGTGAATTAATGTTAACAAGCAAGAATTTGGATGTTGCTAATACATTAGTAAATGTTAAACTATGATTAATAAATGCTGTATAAGCACTGTTCATAATTATTTCACCTTAGTTAATACTAACTAATAATGAAACCTTATCATAAAGTCTGACCAAACAATTCAATAATATTAATCGCTATTCATTTTTCAAAGTTACAAACGGTGCAATTTCTTATACCTGAATCTTTTTAAAACTCTCACACAGTCACAGGCCTCAAAAACACTTGCAAAATGATAAACTGCAATCCAGACTCAACATTACGTATACTCGTGATGTGACTATTGACAACGATCACATTGCGATATCGATGCTGAAATGATGTATTGTGCAGCCCTACTATAATGTACGAAGTGTGCTATGTAAATAAACTTGCCTTGAATTACATAAACATTTAAAAGATTTCTAAAAGATTTCTAAAATATTAAAACAACCATTCAGAAATTTGGGGTTGGTAAGATGTTTATTGTATTTTAATTTATTTGACAAAATTTATTATTATTATTATTATTATTATTATTATTATTATTATTATTATTTTAATAAAAACAATCAGTTTTATTACAGTTTTACTTAACTGATGGCAAGAAACATTTCTTATATTAGTAAGGCAAACAGGTATACTGCTTAATGTGCTCATTGTTTTTTCTAAATTATATTTGTGTGTTAAAAAGAGCAGCATTAATTTAAAATAGAATTTTTAAAAATAAAATATATATAAAAAAATATTTATATTTACTATAACTTTAAATCACTTTAATGTTCTCTTGGTATTACTTCATATAATTAAACTGACCTCAAATTTAGGAATGGTTATACAGTATAAGCATTTTATAAAAAGCAAATGTTAGGAACGTTGGAATAGGTGTGCTCTTGTTAAAGGGATAGTTCACCCAAAAATGAAAATTCTGTCAGTAATTACTCACTCTATTGTCTTATCAAACCACCGGGACATTCCTTCATCTTCAGAACATTGAAAATTGAGATATTTTAGATGAAATCTGAGAGCTCTCTCATTCTGAATAGACAGCGCTGGCCCTGACTCAAAGTACAAACAACATTGTAAAAACGGTCCTTGTGTCAGCTGGAATATTAGGAAGCTACAAAATCAATTTTTTCACACACACACACACACACACACACACAAAAAGTAATAATAATGATAATATTCTGATTGATCTACTAAAAGCATTTGGTCTGTTTAAGGAATTATTTTTTGGTATCTTTCTGGATATTGAATGATTTGGAATTATTGCTGTCTATGAAGGATGAGGGAGCTTTGTATCTTAATCATCTGAATTTGTGGTCTCAAGAGTTTGTAACAACACGGGGGTGAGTTATTATTTACTTTTAGTTTTGCGTGAACTAATCCTTTAATGCTGTGTTCCTCTTAATTGTCTTTCTCTTCCTTTTCCTTCATATGGTGTACTGTATGTAGTTTTGATCTGTTTTCTTCAGTTTTTTCCCTTTGTCTCTGTTTCTTTGCCTCCTCCTCTGTGTGGTTTAAAGTGCCCCTGGCCATTTGTCACAGTCCGTGACTTTACAAACCTCTATAACGCGCGTTCCTAGTCCCACTCTAGTCAGCACCTCTGTGACCAAACACAGGTACCCAGGACAAACATAAACACTCACATGAGCACATATGTGTGAAATACAGGCATGATCACTCTTATCAATACTAATGTCTGTCACTGAGCATGTATTGCGTGTTCACATGTAAATATATCTTAATTCAAGAAAAATGTGCGCTCACTATTTCACCTGCTTGATTGAGTTTTCTCAACCCTTTGATTAGTAGTGTTTATATTAAAGGGGCCGGTCACCTAAAATGAGAATTTACTAGTCATTACTCACCCAAAAGTGGTTCCAAATGTTTTGCTTCTTTAGCTAAAAAAACTAACTAAAGAAGAAATTTTGAAGAAGTTAAGGAAATTATCCTTTTAAAGATTGAGGATTATTTTGCAAGGTAAAAAAAATTAACAAGCAGCACCCTCTTGTGGTGCTTAAGTACAAACGAACTGATCCTGAGCTACAGCATATGTTGAGCAGTTTAACAAGTAGTATATTTTAACTTATAGTACTTTGCAAAATGTCAGTAATGTTTTATAAAGTCACGAAATAGAAACGGTTTACCAAAACTGGGTCTGGGTTTATAGAGTCAATCTAGGGTCATATATACCTGCAAAATGAAAGAAAGTTTTGCAAGCAAAAAATAAACAAACTCAAATCTTCAAAAATCTGAAATTTATTTATTTATTTTTATTATTTTTTTTGCTATCAAAAATAAAATAAACTGCAAAGGAAAATAAGTTTTGAGAAATAAAAGTGAAATTTGCAACAAAACAAAAAAAAAAACTACAAAAAAATCTAGCTTTGCAAAAAAAGCTAAAATATTTGCAATAAAAAAAAAAACTACATATATTTGCAAAACATTTTTATAACATTGCCTTTACAAAACCCATCCAGTCAATTGCAATGCTTATTTTGATTTGCTCTTTAGTCAGCAGTGAGTTTGCAATGCTGTTTTCTTTTTGCACTTCACGTTTCTGTGCCTTTCACTTTGTGGCTCTGATTTGACAAGGGGGCGTAGTCAAAGGGAACTTGGGCATTTACGGCAGACCCGGACTTGCCTCCATTTAAGCAAATGATAGCTTTGTTGATTTCTTTCTCTTTTCTGTTTTTGTTCTAAATTTAATTTTAGTTTGAATGATTTTTGTAATTTTCACTTTTTGTATTTTTTAAATATCATTTGGTGTTGAGCCTTCTATGTGTGATACATAAATTGTAAAGTTGAATGCCATTTTGTTGTATTTGGATTTTGCATTTCCAATAAAAAAAATATATATATATTTTAAAAGGCTGCCCATAAATGCCCACGTTTTGACTCCGCCCCCTTGTCAAATCATGGCCACAAAGTGAAACACAGAAATGTTAAGTGCAAACAGCATGTAAAAACTCACGGTTGAATTTTTAAACGCAAAGCTATAAACAATGATGCAAATATATAGATTTTTATGCACTGCTTGATTTTTTATTTTATTTATTTAAAAAAAAAAATTTTAATTAAAAATTAATTTTGGCTTTGGCATTTGCATTTGATTTTTTACTCAACAGTTTGTATGCAAAACTTTCTTTTATTTTCCAAGTATATGTGGTCCTAGATTGACTCCATATGAATCTCTTTTACATTATTGATTTGCATTTTTTCCCTCATTTAATAAAATTGTTTATATATAAATTGCATAAAAAGTTTGTCTGTACATGCTGCTATAAGCTTAAAATGAAGGCATACAGTTAAAGGTAAAATTATTAGAAATTCATCATTGCAACTATTGTATATACAGAATTATTCAGAAGTCAGAATTATTAGCCCCCCCCTGTTTATTTTTTTCCCCGATTTCTGTTAACCAGAGAGAAGATTTGTTCAACACATTTCTAAACATAATAGTTTTAATAACTGACAGTAAATAATATTTGACTAGATATTTTTTCAAGACACTTCAATACAGCTTAAAGGGACATTTAAAGGCTTTACTAGGTTAATTAGGTTAACCCGGCAGGTTAGGGTAATTAGGCAAGTTATTTTATAACAATGTTTTTTTTTTTTTTAGACTAATGAAAAAAAATAGCTTAAAGGGGCTAGTAATTTTGTCCTTAAATAAAAAAACTGCTTTTATTCTAGCTGAAATGAAACAAATAAGACTTTCTTCAGAAGAAAAAAATATTATCAGACATACTGTGAAAATTTATATATATATATATATATATATATATATATATATACACACACACACACACACACACACACACACATATAGTTGAAGTCAGAATTCTTAGCCCCCCTTTGAATAGTTTTTTTCTTTTTTACATATTTGCTTAACAGAGCAAGGAAATTTTCACAGTATGTCTGATAATATTTTTTTCTTCTGAAGAAAGTCTTATTTGTGAAGGCATACATATATATATATATATATATATATATATATATATATATATATATATATATATATATATATATATATATATATATATATATATATATTCACAGGCTAACAGTTTTGGCTAACCTTTGAACATTATTTATAAAAATCATAACACAAACATTTATTCATTTGTGTGGATAAATGGACTGAAATAAACTGCACATCCCAGAATATGGCTTTACACTGTTCATAATGTAATATGAATTTTGTTTGCTTGTATATTTGACACTTGCATGTGTTTTCAATCTAACATGATAAAACTGTAATTTCTTTACTATTGTTTTGATTTATATCTAGTACATGGAGTCACCCAGTCCTACAAGTGATTTTGTGTGTGTGTCCTACAGCTTGCAGGCTTCGTCTCAGCAAAGCTCCATGGTGAGAGAGCAGGCCAGAGAGGTTCGTCTGGCTCAGGAGGCAACGGAGACAGATCGAGCTCGCCACGCTTCTCCGGGGGAAGGCGGACACGAGGAGCCAGACCTTTCCACACTCACTCTAGCAGAAAAGATGGCACTTTTTAACCGTCTTGCCCAGCCGTCCAGCCACGGCTCTAGGGCCAGAGGAGACACGCGTGCACGGAGGAGTAACGCACGCTATCAGACTCAACCAATCACACTAGGAGAAGTCGAACAGGTACACATCATATCTCTAACTTTTTTGAACCATATTTATTCATGCACTAGTGATAATTGTATTTGTTTAATATTTTTTTTCAAGTCTTGAATTATTATCAGTCAAGCACATGAGTGTGTGGGGTTTGAGTGTGTGCATACTTTTGTTTGGTTAATTGCTGAAAATACTAAAGAGAACTGATTAAAATGAACAATAAAATTGTAAAGTAGCCTAACGAATGCATTTTTTTGTTAAATAAAATATAAAAAGTTATTAAATGCATCTGTTATTGTTAATACATCCTAAATATAAAACATACTTTTGCAATCTCCTATTTTAAATTTTTATCTATAGAGGTTTTAAAGTATTTTTTAAATGTAAATCCTTCAAAAATTGTATAATTTTTACCAAAAAAAGTATTTTCTGTGGGACAATTAAAAAGAATGTTAGTATTTAGGATGTAATATAAACTTGAAAATTTACCATATTACAAATGTATTTATTTACTTATTAGATTTTAGATTTAAAACTACTGTTTTACCAACATTAGTCACAAAATTTCAGTAGATTAAAAATATGTTTAATTTTATTTTTTTAATTTTGAAATTTGATTAGCACCTCAAATTTGATTAGCACCCAAACTCATAAGAGAGTCTGATATTTATTAACCTTGCCTTTATATTCCAATGTTATAGTAATAATAATAATTATAATAATGATATCATTATTAATAACTTCATTCTCCAAAAATGTTTAACTGGTAAAAATAAATAAAATATTTTTTATTAATTTATTTGGAAAAATCTGATATTGGGATATTTAATTTTTTCTGCACTAAAACACACACACACACACGACTGAGCTTTTAAAGGGGTTTGTCTCTGATGCAGGATGGTTCTGGTTCTGAGATGTTCGATGAGGAATCTGAGTTCTCAATGTGTCTCAGTGATCTGGAACATGTGAGGATGTTTTATAGATCCTGAGGTTTTACTCTCTGCCTGCAGTAAAACCATCATTCCCCGTTTTAGAAACAGTTGTCCTAATGCTTCAGCATATATATGTGCCTGTAGGATAAAGGCATTTTTTGGCATCTTGTTTCGATGAAAGGCATACAGCCACAATGAAATATGTTAAGGCTTGGATTTAAGTGCTGCCTTATGCAAATATACAGTAGTACTTGATTGCTGTAGCTTGAGTACAAGCTTTGCTGTTTCGTTGTGCTTTTGCAGTGGAACAGTGTTTTGTTTATTGTGCTGATAACTGTGCAATTAAAACTGGAATAATATTGTGCTGTAATACATGTAAAACACAATATCATTCCTGTATTTGTACTGGAGTGGACTGTGTGCAAATGTATAAATGGATCAGCTGGAAACAGAAGCTTGCATACATTTTAATAATGGAAATGTGTCTTAAAGTATAAACTGGTGCACTTCAGTGAGAAAACAGATGGAATTAGCATGCGACTTGTATAAATTTGAAGTAGGCTTTGAAACTTGTGAAAATCAGTCAGAAATTGCAACATTTTAACAGTTTAGGTCAATACTACTCATCTTATTTTCAGCGTACGAGCGGGTGCAGCCATTTGAATCTTTTTGGCTTGAGACTTCCAGTCTCATTCACTGACATTCATTTTTAGACATTAAAAACAGCTCGTTACGGTGCTTGATGTTGCAAACTGATATTTTCCTATTACATTATTCTACTTGATCTATATAGTCATGCATTAACATTTGTTTAAGCAAGTTTGACCGTTTTCTGCCGTTTAGAATTCCTAGTCATTTCTCCCATAGGCGACTGAATCTGAACTTCTTAAACAATCTCAAAAACAGGTGCGCTTATTTTAGAATAAGGTCAATACGGATATTATACAAACAAATTAACCTAAAAAAGTGTTGCATATGGAGCAGTTGTGCACTTACACTGTGAAATTAAATTAGTTGACTTTACTTTTATTAAGCAACGGCTTACTCACTTGAGTAATTGAGTAAATGAACTTTGCATAGCTCTAAAAATTAAGTTACATCAACTTTAAAAAAAAATGCATAACTTGAAACTATTAAGTAAAAGCAACTTGTCACTGATTGCGCTTTTTATTGTGTGCACACTTATGAATAATCAGACATCTTTTGTTGTAAAAATGTTTTTTCTTTGTTCTGTTTTCACCTAAATTTTGTTCAAGTTCAGTTTTGTAAATTTTTGCAGATTTTGTTGATTTTCAATGTTTATTTCTTTTCATTTTAAACTCAGTGAAAATTATAATCTATTTTAGTAAGTGAATAAATTAACTAAATACAATTTTAATATAACATTAAATATTTTTACATACAGTCGAAATCAGAATTATTAGCCCTACTGTTTATTTTTTTCCCCCAATTTCTGTTTAATAGGGTTAATAGTTTTATTAACTCATCTCTAACAACTGATTTATTTTATCTTCTTTTAAGTGACATTTAAAGGCTTAACTAGATTAATTAGGCAAGTTAAGGTAATTAGGCAAGTCATTGTATAACGATGGGTGTTTCTGTAAACTATCAAAAAAAATGCTTAAAGGGGCTAATATTTTGACCTTAAAATGTTTTTTAAAAAAATTAAAAACTGATTTTATTCTAGTCGAAATGAAGCAAATTGGACTTTCAGAAGTAGAAAAAATATTATAAGACATACTGTGATAATTTTCTTACTCTGTTAAACATGATTTGGGAAATATTTAAAAAAGAAAAAAAAAATCTAACGGGGGCTAATAATTTTGACTTTATCTGTACATATACACTTTTGGTTTATTATTTCTTATGTAAAACGAAATGTTTGATTCGTTACTTTTGCTTAGTATCCTTTCTCTTAAATAATAATATACTCTTAAAATAACCACATTGCATGCATAATGTGACCAAGCAGTTTCTCCAGGGAAAGTCTTATGGTTCTGCTAATGTCAATGAAGGTGGTTCATGATTAGTTAATTCCCTAAAGAATAAATGGGAGGTTTATTTTTTTAAGTGGTTTTGAGACAACAGCAGAAATGCTTCACTGCAATTACCATCATTTTGCTGAATGGACTTCATTTGGAAGTCAATGCTCTTGTTCTGAATGTGTCCCAGAGCTCTGCCCAAAGCCCTGCTGACACAGTAGAGTTGTATCGACCGTGTCTGTGATTCACTGTGTCTGTTTCTGAGGTCATGTTGGGAACGCTTCAGTGTATAATGGGCATGGCTTTGTGAATGATTTTGTTATTCTGACGCTTGTCTTTGAGCCACAGGAAGTCACACACTGATTACTCAGCATGATCAAAGTGTGTGTATGTTTGTGTTTGTGCTCATGAAATCTTGGTGAATGTTTAGTCTTCTGTCCACGCTGACCCATTTTTTTTTCTCATCCTATCCCATCATGATCTTCCTCTTTCTCAAAATGCTCATTCTCTCACCTTTTCCTTCTTCACTTTCTATCTCCGCCTGTTCTCCATCCTTCTCTTTTGTCATAGTTTCAGCCTGCAGGTGGAGCTCGTTTTGCACCCAGCTCCAACTCAGCCATGAGATCCTCCACTGTTTCCACTGAACATGCGGGCGACATCCATCTGACCATGCCAAATGTATCTGGGCCTGCATATTATGAGCAGACCGTTTCTCCACCGCATCACCCTCAGCCTGCCCATGAGATCCAGACACATCAGAGTCTGGCTGAAGGGGAAAGGCTGCTGTTGAGCACTGGGAAGAGGAAGCTTCCCTCCCCAGACAGCGTGAAACGGACACCGCATGCTCAGCCGGCCAGAGACTGGGACAGTAAGGCTGTGGCGGTGACCTCTCAAGACCTTTCACAAACAGATGGAGAGCACACAACAGGTAGAGGAACATCAGTGTGTTTGTTTGTATTTTAAACAACCCCTTACAACATAGTAAGGGGGGGGGGGTATGCTACACCTGCTGGTCTTGAGAAATGTGATCGGTCATTAAAACGTAAAATTTTTGTTTTAAATACAGGAAGAACCAATTCAAGACACTTTACAGTGTACAGTAAACACAACATTGCTAAATTAGTCTATCCATTCAGATAAAAAATAAAGAGATTAATAAAGAAATATAGGTGTTGTACTATTGAACTTATTTAATAATGGTCACAATAATAATAATAATAATAATAATAATAAATATGTATTATTAATAAAAAATAATGATTATAGTGGTGTTTGAGAAAAAGAAAAAGGAATATTATTGATATTAGTAGTACAAAAACTATAATTTGAGTAAATTATAGAATTTGCTTTTAAACATTTAATCATTTAATTAGTCTGAAAAAGGGGTGTCCAAACTTTGTATGAAGGGCCAAAAACCAAATATCATTGAGAGTCATGGGCCGAAGATAAATATACCAAACTATTTTACATTAAAGCTGCCATGGGTCATTACCTAATTTATTTCATAAGATTTAAAAACAAGTAGAAAACATTGCTTTGAATTATGTAGCTAGTGCAGTATAATTTTTAAATTATAACTTAAAATATAACATAACATAATAAAGCATAAACAATCACATTTATAACACAGTGAAGTTCAATGCAAAATACACTAGTCAAGCAGAATCTGCATTGTCCTTTATCAGACGGGTGAGTGTAAGAAAAACTTAAACTAAACTACAGCATTGAAATTTAAATATTTCATTTCAGTTAATTTATTTTTTTTGGCTCAACAATAAAATGCAAAAATAAATGGTTACATTAAATTTGAATTGACTCTCTAAACTAGGCATGGGATAACCGTTTTCAAGGTATACTGCGGTTTGGAAAAGTCACGTTTTTAAAATCACCAAAATTTTCTGCTATAGCGTTCCTAAGGTATATGTAAGATTTTTATTTATGTTTTTTTGTTTTGTTTTGTTGTAACATTATCTCCAACAGAAAAGATATCTAAAGATTTCCTTTTTGAATTGTAATGAAATCTGTTTTTTTTTAAACTAATGAAGACTGAAGTCAATGATTCATTTGAATTATTTAGCCTGATATGGTTACTGTTTCAAAATATTTTAAATGTTTCTTAAAATAAAATATATTGTGTTCAAAGGAGGAAAAATTTAGTTTTTTTTACACAAACATATTTTAGAGCGGTAAGAACAATACCATAAAACCGTGGTATTTTTATACCGTCGAAATCTTATACAAGTCCATGTTTACTCTAAACCATACCAATCATTCTCCCTCTCTCAATCTCAAAAAATCAAAGGTTACCATGGGTCAACCTAGTTTAGGCATCTCTGATCTAAACCACTAATTTGCGAGTAGCACTTTCATATATTATCTCTGTAAGAACACATATCAAAAGAAATATATGTACAGGAAGGTGTATACATACAGTAGATCAAAACATCTACTTATTTTTGTTTTCAGGTTAGTCTTGTCTAGCTTTTGGTAAGAAGAGCTTCTAAATTAGTTGTCCTAATTCTTCAGCATCTATTTCCCTATATGTGCCTGTGGGATAAGATCAGGCATTTCTTTTACGCATCTTGTTTGGATGAAAAGCATACAGCCACAATGAAATCTTTTAATTTAAGTCCTGCATTATGCAAATAGCAGTAAATAATAGCAATAGTTCCCGATTGCTGTAGCTTGAGAACAGGCTTTATGTGCTTTTGCTGCGAAACAATGTTTTGTTTCGTTTGTTGTGCTGATAACTGTGCATTTAAAACTGCAATGGTGCAATTGTGCTGTAATAAATGTAAGGCACAATATCATTCCTGTACATGTACTGGACTGGACTTTGTGCAAATGTATATACAGATTATGTATTCTCTCTTTTAGAATACATATGAAAAAAAAAACTATGTACAGGAAGGTGTGTATATATAGATTAAAACATCTACTTACTTTGGTTTTTAATTTAGTCTCGCCTCGCTTTTGGTAAGATGAGCCCCTAAATAGGGCAGAAAGACCCCTGGCATAGAGGTCAGGTCCCAGCTGTTGCTGGATGTTTGCTAAATGTGTTGAATGTATCTGATATCATTGTTAATTATTTATACTACAGAGCGAAAAAGAAATGTGAATACTTGTAATACAAAGATCACATTTACCAGAGAACAGTTATTATTATTATTATTATTATTATTGTTATTATTATTATTATTATTATTATAAGACTTATTACACAATTTGATATATTAGCTAATAAATTAATGATAATGTAAGTTTATCGGTTTAATGATAAGTTTAAAACAATAAATAAATAAATAAATAAATAAATAAATAAATAAATAAATGAATAAATAAAGACAATTAAAACTGTCATTTTTTTATCTTTAAAACACAATGTAAACAAAAAAGTTGAGATGACTTGTGTGGAATTACACATTGTTTTAGTATGATCAATAAATATGTGCAAATATAACTATACCCTTGGAATTTTTTACTTTAAAGGAAAAAAGTGATTATTTTTGTCTCTGACCTAAATAACTTGCTGTAAACTAACTTACTTTCACAAATCCTCACTAATAATGTCCAAATTTATAACGGCATCAAAATATACTTTGTCACATTGAAGCTCCTTCTCTCATTTACAATTCATCCCCATCATGTGCTGTTTGTTTTGTCAGTGAGCGTGTTATGATGGCTTCCCGCAGTGTCTGCTGCACATGTGCCGTCTACTGATATCTCTGTGACTTTACAAAAAGAGAGGTGTGTATAGGATGTGATGCGAGTTACTTCTACTCCGTCTTCCTGTTTTGGGTCTGTCATGCAGGCTGCTGATTTTTAAACTCTCCTCTCTCTGAAAAGACAGAAAGATGTCTGTGTAAGCCACACTGTCACAGGATGATCAACAAAGCCTCCTTTTATGCTTAGAAACTGACACTCATTTCCTGTGCAGCAGTTCGCATGCATTCATCACAGTTTTGACAGAACTAAACGCGTGTCAGAGTGTTGGTCTGCGGTGACTCCGCCTGACGCTGAGCTGTTATTGATTGTATCACTGAAGCTGCTCTAAACCCTTTCCTGTGTCTGTGTTCAACAGATCTTCCTGTACACACTGCCGCTGCTGTATCTGCATTACAGAGCCATTCTCTCCATGAGGACCACACCAGAGAGGAAGAGCAGGAGAGCGACTTCAAAACAGAAGACGGAGACGAGCTCTCGGACGTCATGTCTGCCAGACAGATGTCCATCAAAGAGAGGTGAAGTAGCTGATATCATTTCTCTGAAAGTTGTTGTTGTTGTTTTGTTTTCAATGGATGAAAGTCCTGTAGTTTACAGTGTATTGAAACTTATCGTTGTGTAAAATTGTGATAATTTACTCACCATCCACTTGTTCTAAACTGGTTTAATTTTTTTCATCATCTTTTGAACACAAAAGATATTCAGAAGGATGTTACAGACAGTGGCTTACAAAAATATAGCATTTTTTCATAGTATGACTAACAATGAGGACCAGTTTGTAACCTTCTTTAAAAAATATCTTCTTTTGTGTTCAGAAAATGACATCAAAAACTAATACCACTTGAGAATGTGAATTTATTATTATTTTTTTTTAAAGTGGACTGTCTCTTTAAATTCTTAGTAGTATTAATAAGTGTGTATTTACTGTAGATTTAGGGTTTGATTTAGTTTGATTTAGAGTTATTGCATGTTGTTTTGCAATTGTTAAAGTATGTCTGACAAGGACAGAAAGCTGAGGCTCCTGAAATGCGTAATAGAGGCTTGCTTTTATTTTTATTTGTGGATGTTCAATTATGACTCTATTTGGGGAAAGTATGTTTGTGTCTTTTTGAATGTGTCGATTGCATTGTTCTTTAATTTTACACATAGGTTGAACGCTTTGAGCATCTCCTTTTAGTAGCATAATATTTCACAAAGTTGTTTTGACAAGAGTTTGACTTTGAACTAGGTCAGTGATGTTGCTGTTACGTCCTCATCCTGCATTCTTGTGTTGTAGTTTAAAAGTAAACACGCAGATAATGACGGACGGATATTAGAAAATGTCACAAATTCTAGTGTAGTGTTACTCTGTATTGTAGGTTCTTCAGAGCTGTATGGATGTATCTGGTTAGAGATCAAAGTATTGTGTAACTGATAGACCGCTGCCTGTTGCCTAAGAAAGCAAGCTGACGCAAGCTGATTAAATTGATTAGTAATGACAGTTGTGCATGTATGTGCAAATATGTGAGAATTAGGATGATATATGCATAACTGTTAATGCTTATTATTTTGTGTGTGTGTGTGTGCGCGTGTGCGTGTGTGTGTGTGTGTGTGCAGTGCACATATTGTGCACATATTTTTGTTGTGTTAAGTTGTACAGTCCCAATCAAAAGTTAATTACTTTTTTCATTTGTGTAAGATTTACTAGTAGCTTATTTTTAAACTTATTCAAAGCACAAGTCAATAATGACGTTAAACGATTAACCAAATGCAAAATAAAAACATTGTTTACATAATATTTTGTGTGGGTTCTGTGTATATTTCTATAAATACACACATCCATGTACAGTTGAAGTCAGAATTATTTGCACCCTTTTTTTTTTCTTTTTTAAATATTTCCCAAATGATGTTTAACAGAGCAAGGACATTTTCACAGTATGTCTGAAAATATTTTTTCTTCTGGAAAAAGTCTTATTTGTTTTATTTCGGCTAGAATAAAAGCAGTTTTTTTTTTAAATCATTTTTGGGACAAAATTATTAGCCCCTTTAAGCTAATTTTTTTTCGGTAGTCTATAGAACAAACCATCATTATACAATAACTTGCCTAATTACCCTAACCTGACTAGTTCACCTTATTAACCTAGTTAAGCCTTTAAATCTCACTTTAAGCTGTATAGAAGTGTCTTGAAAAATATCTAGTAAAATATTTTTTACTGTCATCATGGCAAAGATAAAATAAATCAGTTATTAGAAATAGGTTTTAAAAAATATTATACTTAGAAATATGCTGAAACAATCTTCCCTCCATTAAATAGAAATTGGGGAAAAGATTAAACAGGGGTGCTAATAATTCAGGGGGGCTAATAATTCTGACTTCAACTGTATATGTACATGTATACTAAATGTTTATTTATATATAAAATATTTATGTATAATAAATTGTATGTAAAAATGTATTTAAAATTATCAGTGTATGTTGTATTCATGTGGATTTATACAGTATATACTTAATAAATATGTACTGTACACGCACATATTTTATGCAAAGACAAATGTATATTTTGTTCATTAGTCACGATCAGGGCTTAACAATTACTTTTGATCACCAACTTCTGTGTCTAGTAGATTCCCAACATTACTTGCCGCTCGCCTTTTTCACTAGCCACACTTTTGTTGTTGGGAAAATCTATTTCATGTGCATAAATTTGACTTTGACACGCTACAATTACTTGATTTAGATTTTGTGTTATGTCCACAAGCCTCCTCGTTTGTTTCACTTTTTGTGTGTGTTGTGTATTAGCTTGCTCAATGTGCATGAGCGAATGGGTTGTCGCATTGCAATCAGTTTTTATTTCACTTGAATTTTAAGGGCTCAAAATTTAGGAATTAATAAATTTATCTCTGACCACACCAAAAAAAATAATTATTTTTTAGCCACAAATTTTTAATGTGTAAAAGCAAGCAAATTATAGCTGTATATGTAACCGAGGGCAGCTAACAGGTGCTGTGCAGGTAAAGATTACTTCTCTGACCTCTAAAGGTGCTCTTGCGACAGACACTAGAGGCCATAGTCTTTAGCCTCTTTGGTAGAGCAACCAACTCCCATGCGGAAGGTCACCAGTTTGATCCCAGCTTGGATCAGGTTGGGTGGCGTAGGACCGTTGGGGTTTAAATTGGTGCCATGACCCGGATGGGAGGGAAGTTTAGGGGAGTGAGTGTGACGGAGGCCGGCTAGTAGGTGCTGTGCAGATAAACTTCACTCCTCTGACCTCTAAAGGTGCTCTAGCAACAGACGCTAAAGGCTATGGTCTTTAGCCTCCTTGTCCAAAAATTCAAAAATTTTTCTTTTTTTTTTTTTTTTAAATTACATTTAAAAAAGAACTATTGTCATGGATCTAAAATATGCACAGTAATCTGTCCTGGCTAAAGGTCCCAGATTACACGTTAGCTACACATAAATGGGGAGTTAATCTCATATTAAAGCAATGTTCTTATAAAAAAAGGAGAGAATTGAATTATATTAACAAAAATAATTGTAAGCAAAAGAAAGCGGGTAAAAAAAAAAAACATAACATGAGTGATGATGAAAGGATGATCATGCGTACACGGTTAATGTTAGGCCTGTTAATAATCTGTTTAAAGAATAATTAAAACTAAAGCAGTGACCGCTGCAGCTTACAAAAGGATATATATATATTTTTTTTAAAATATTGAGCTCTTGAAAGCAGCAGGACTACGTGTGCACGATCATCGTTTTTTTTCCAGTCTATTTTAAGGAGAACCGATCGCACCAGTTGTGTTTCATCTAGGCACGGTTGCTTTGCTCAAATAAATGGGAACACACGCATTTTGAGTCGTGCGCATCACCTGTGCACGCAAGCGATCATCCTCGCTATTACCCTGTTTTCTTTTGCTCACACAAAGTTATTTTTGTCAATTGTGCTGCTTCTCGATTGTAATATTACATTTGCATGCATATTGGGCCATCTTTATTGTCGAACGCTGCTTTTAAGAAAACTACAGTTTAAAAATTATTTCCAACCAGCCAAAGTGGCTAGTGGGAGTATCTGTCTAACCCGCCCAAGCTGAAATCTAGCCATATTTGGCGAGTTTGTTTGTGTTCATGTCAAGCCCAGGTCACAATTAATCATAAAAAAAAACTATAATTTTGATAGACTAGGGGTTTTCAGAGTAGGCTCCGGGGACCTGCAGGGGGGGCACATTAGAATGTTACTGGATTCACAAAAAATGTTTGTGGAAAAAAAATGTAAAATGTTAAAATAAACAGTTAAAATTGCCTCACTAACTTGACTTGCAAAATGCATTGCTTTTGTATTTCCATACAGACAGTTCAGCCACACATTCTTTGACTATGAAAGAAACAGTAAAAAAATGCATTGAACACCTTTGATGCTGATGTTTTAGATTGGCTTGGGGAAGATCCCAAAAATACAACTTTAAATATGGAATTTATTCAGGAAATTGTATACATTTTAAATGGAGGTCCATTTCATGAGCATAGTGGTTTGTGGGGCTTACTGGCATCAGTTTTATTTATAGGATCGGTTAAAATGCATGCATTTAAAAAGACTACCTTGTGAGCACATTTTATGATTAAGACAAACTGATATGATTGTGTCTGTTCCAGGCTGGCTCTGCTGAAGAAGAGTGGAGAGGAAGACTGGAGGAACAGGATAAATAAAAAACAGGATGTGGTGAAGGTTGCTGTGTCTGAAAGACATGCCCAGCTATGGGAGGTGGAGCAGAGCTTCAAGAAGAAGGTAACCTCTGAACCTTGAACTGTCTCACTTGACCATAAAGGTCATGGGTCACAATACATTGCCTGATATTACATGTCTAATTATACCATGTGTGTTCGACAGCTGTTGTTAGGTTAAATAGCATCTTGTATTATCAGCCTCTGGGAAATGTAGAGCTAATATATCATTTAACTGGCTGTGTGATTCAATTGTTTTGTTTGCATTTGTTGAATAGTTCAGAAGAGTTTATTATTCAGCTTAGAGCTGGTCTTTATCCAGTTGAGTAACTCTAAACAGAGAAGGGGTGTGTGCTTTTATTTTCTCTCCTTGTATCTTTTTTATGTTCTGTTATTTTCTTTGCATGTTCTTGTGGTGTGCATGGGGTCACTTATTTACTAAGTATTTTTGAATTTAATGATTAATACGATTATTACTTATTTATTGGTTGTATGAAACTCAGCACTAATTTGCTCGGCCTCTCAGTGAAAGCCATAATATTTACATTTATTTTAAATAGACTTTGTAATTGCTGGTCATGTTTGAAAAGTAATAATAATAAAAAATTAAATGCTAAAAAAACTTACTATGTAAATGTTTATCCTAGTAGTAGTAACCATTTGGTCATCATGAATGTGTGCAGTCATCGTTGTGGGAAAGGGTTCTGGATTATTAGCATGTTTAATTCACTGTTCTTAACCTGCATGATTCTCTGTTTTTGATTTAGTCTGCTTCTTTACTGCTTGTTTTTGTGTTTTTACTGCTATTTATAATAATAAAAGCCATTTTAAATCTTTGCATGCATTGATCGTAATTCTCTAGTGCATGGGGGCTGGTGTAGGGTTCTATGTGCCTTTCTCTCTTTGGATTTATGCCAGTATTTTTACTGTAGGATCTTTATAAAAAATAAGGTGGCATATGGAATTAACCGGTTATGTCATTTAGCTTGTGACTTAGCAGGTGCATTGTAAAGTTGCGGTCACATTAGAGTTTGAGCATGTGATGTTCTGCCGTACAGTGCTGCAAAAGAGGTTGGAAAAAACTAAATAATGCAACACTGATTTGTTTTTTCTCTCTCTGTGCAAGGAAGTTATGTTTTTATCTTCTGTTGGTCAAATCGTTTCAGGTGATGCAAATATACAAATAAGCCACGCCAATTTTCTAAGATGTACATAAACTGACAATTTAACTGAAAATAAAACAGGTAGGGCATTTACAGATTTTAATTAAAGATTAGAAGGGCAAACATTTTTTCTTCCTAATGACATGCACAGATGAATTGTTCACAAACACAACTAGCAATGTGAGCTAACAAAATCATACGGTTAGTTTTGATTTCTTGGGGACCTAAAGCTTTGTGAAGTCTGACCTGCAAAATCGCATCATGTGATTGCTTGAGACGATATAATTAAAATATGGAGCAATTACTCGCTTTATCAATATATAATCATCTTGATATATCCTGCCCCTTTTCGCAGCACTGAACAAAATATTTCATGTTCAAACATTGGTGTGCCTGCAGCTTAGGGGCTGTTCACCCAAAAATGGAAATTCTGTTATCATTTACTCACGCTTCACTCGTAAAGTTTCTTTTCACAAAGAAAGATAATTTGAGCAGTGTTGGAAACTGGTAGCCATTGAATTTTTTTGTTTCTACTATGGATGTCAGTAGCAACCGATTTCCAACAAGCTTCAAAATAACTTTTGTTTGTGTGTTTAACAGAAAATTATTTTACCTCTTCAAAGTTGGTAATAAATGAAAATTTACAGTGATTTATGTGGGACTTCTTCGGTTTTTTAAACTGTATCTCCACCAAAGTGTTTTTCCTCAAGGTTTATGAATGTTTTTGTTTGGTTTTCACGGGAGCATTGTGTTTTTAAAAACTTTAGCATTGTGGCAAGGGTGGTGTGTGTGTCTATTTTACAGTGATCAGCATACTTGTGTCTATTTGTTTTATTTATGAATTTTTTTAGATTTATTTTTGGTCTTTTTGCCTTTTATTGAGAGGATAGGACAGTACCAGACAGGAAACAATTTTAGACTGGCAACAAAGTAGGAAATCACCGATTTGTAAGATCACCGATTTGACTGTGATCTGAGACATTTGTTTGCGAATTTCTTAAAACCTGTCGGCAAGTCAAAATCGCGACTAAAATTATGCAGTCTGAACTTAGCATTAGGGACTCCTTTTTTCTAAAATTACAAAATATAAATTACAAAATGGTTGAATTACAAAATATAAATACATGGCACACTTACACTTAGCCAGCTATGGAAAAATTGGACGCCAGCCAACAGATGACATCTGTTCACACACGCACACACACACACTCAGGTGACAGGTAACATTACACATACTCCGGCAGCACAGCTCGGCGTGGTTATCTAACCGTACCTATAATTCCTTGCTGAGAACAGTATTCATGCTATTCTGTTCCTGGTTAATGTGGAAATACAACTGGAGCCGTGCCGGAATGTTCCTAGAACTGTTTGGCGTGATTAAAAAAAGGAAATGGAAAAACAGCTCAATTATACATAGGTTGTCTTTCCAACTATTGCCACATCAACAAGAGTGGCGACAGAAAAATAAGAGAGAAATGATTACTGTGAGTTTCTGCATGACTACCGTCACACTATTACAATTTTAAGAAGGGTGCTGTTTTTTTCAGCTTGCTAACAATGCTTTGGTGGATATACATCCTGTCATTTTTCTTAATCAACTGCTAGCTGCATTCAGATCTACCTCTATCCCTTTGCTAAACACTGAATAGAACTGTAAGCAAGTGCAAAATAAATAGTGAAGGTTTATTATTCAGAAAATAAGACTAATTCAAAATAAAGTTTATTTTTCACGCTTTTAGTAGGAGATCATTTCTCCCCTGTTCATTTTACCCCTTTTTCTAGGATGATGGGATGATGATAGATGACTTTGCTGTGTCTGATCAACTCTGGGTAAGGCTGTTAGCCTTTAGCCACCAAGCTAACAGGCGTAGCACGGGGTATTGCTGGTGTTCACGGGTTTTGGTTTTGTGTTTAATCCTTGATTTTGTGATCATGGTCACATTGGTGTGCTGTCCTGGTATTTGTACCTTGTCGCTTGTGGTGGTGATTTTATTTGCTTGTTCCTCTTACAGTACATTGCTACCATGATGATGATTTTTGCAGTGTCTGTTTACCATTATGGTGGCTTTGTCATTTTTACCCTGTGGTGTCTTTACAGTGATTATGCATATTTAACCGACTTGTTCAACCACTACAGACTTTAAGTTAGCAAAATTTTACCCAAAGAATTAGTTTTTATTGACCTGCTTCGTTTGAGATCATATCAATTATTCACAATGATGTGCCTGTGAATTTGTAATTTGCTTACAGCACTGCATTGGCTCACTAATTTGACTTAGACTCAGCACTTTTTGCTAGATTGACAGCTACAAGTTAATCAAAAGATTTCAGTATCATCAGATTCAGGGTGGTTGTACAAGATGCTGTGTGTTGTGGAATCTAGATTTAATCAGCATTATAGCACACTTACTTTGACGTTTGAATCAATACCTTTGTGGTTGTCATGTGGTTATTTAGAGGTTGCATTGTGTCTAAGATGAGACCAATGTCACCTGCCTGCTGTCTGCTCTTCCCTCCTACTTGTTCATGTGTCTCTCCGTCTTCTGTCTTGCTGTCCCCTCTTGATTCTGTCTGTAGGATCCTGTCTTTTCCTCCTCCCTTTTGTGTGCCTCTGAACCACTGGATCAAATAGCAAACCTTCCCAAGGTGAGCAGCTGATGTAAATTATCTTTTCTTTTTCGCCCTCTCATACTGACATACTACCTTTCCTGATTTCCCATATGACATGTAGTTAGATTAGTGGGGTTTTTCGCTATTTAATATCGACATGTTGCACTTATAATAAAATAATATGCATAACTGCCCATACATTTATAAAGAAATAAAGGTTTATGTATATATATAGCCTAGTGGTTAAGTGCACCGACATATAGCACAAAGGTGCTTATGGCAACCCGAGTTTGAATCCTGGCTCTAGGTCCTATGCCAATCCTTTCCCTCTCTCAGCTCCCAATGCTTTCATGTCAGTCCTGCACTGTCCTATCACATTAAAAGTGGAAAACCCCTTAAAAAATTATTATAAATAAAAAAAGAATAAGCAAAATCTTGAATGGCTGAGGGTCATTAAATTTATTTCCTATTTATATTTATATAATCTTCAATACTATGAAGCCTAAAAAGTACATTCTTATATTTCTTGAGTTAAATTAGTCTTTTATATTTATTAACCTCTTTTAAAGCTTTAAAGGGACAATATGTAATAAATATGTTAATAAATTATTCGAAAACCTCTAGAACCGTTTTGTATGTATATGCCGACTTATGTACTTTTTCATTCAAGTGTTTTGAGGAATGTTAAAATTCTGAGAAATAAGACATTTTTATTAGGGATTCCATGCTAATGATGTCATGCACTCACAATTTCCAGTTTGTTTTCGTAGAAAACAGGAAAACAAAGATGCTTTAGAACATTGTGTTTTATTTTGACGACAAAGAATTGCATTTAACAGAACCTTAAAATGCAGTAGAATGATGAAACTGCACTGCTTTCCCACGTAATCGTGACTGGGGAAACTGGGAGCATTTCACTTTGACAGCTTTCAGCCCTACTCGACTCCATACTACCATGATAAATACTTTAGCTCATCCATGAACATGATTTCTGTACTCGTTCTGAACATTACGTTTCATAGGATGTAATGAAGATGATGACTCTCATGATTCCACACTTGTTATAATCAAAATACACCTTTGCTGTGAAAATGCACCTTCTACTGGCAAAAATTGCATACTGTGCCATTAAATAGCTGTTTATGTAACATTTGATAATTTTCAACTCTTCACTTTAGCCTTAAATACCTCCATATTAAAATAAGACATTTACAAAATATAGCCAATAGCTTAGTGGTACTGTGCCCTGACATATAGCATGGACGTGCTCGCGGCGACCCGAGTTCGATTCCTGGCTCCATGTTCTTTGCCGATCCTTCTCTTCTTTCTATCCTCAATGCTTTCCTGTCCTAAATCTCCATTGTCCTATCAAAATAAAGGTAAAAAAAACCTAAAAATAATAAAAAAACATTTCCATCTATTTTCATTATTTATATATTGATAGAATGCATGCAACCCCACATAATTGTAAGTCAACTGAATGAGGTCTCATCTTGTGTATCTTGTGTAGGATGCATCCTCTCACCTTTCATCCTTTCTCTCCATCCTTTCTCATTCCTTGTTTCTTGCCGCCTGTCCTCCTGCTCTTCCCTCCTTGTGAAGGCTACCCTCCTGCCCGTGCAGGTGGATGAGCGTCACCCCTGGAGACGGAAGGTGCTTTTCACCCACCCCAAAACACATCCTATATTCCTCCATAACACTTAGACTCATTGTAATTTAGTCTAAACGTATGGCCAGTGCTCTTGTGCTGTTTTCTTTTTTTGTGTGTTTCTATGGAGTTTGAATACTGTAGGTATGTTTAGGTTCTCGGTTAGTATTTTTAGGGCTGCAGAATGTTTTGAGATATCACCAATATTCACCATAAGTGAAAAAACATGCTATTGAATGAAAATGCAGTAAAGATAGTTACTTAAGACTAAAGAATTAAAAATATTTATTATGTAAAATTTATTTGTTTATTTCTAAATACTTTTATAGGCAATGGTCTTAGATATAACATATTTATTAATATCAGGAAATATAAAATATACATTTTGGCCAACATAAAATACATTTTAAATATGTTTTAAATTTCATTAAATAAGCTATAACGCCATATTTGTCTTAAACCATAAAGCTTTTCTTGCTTGTATTCATTCACGCATCAATGTTGTCAGTGAACATTTTAAACTTAACAATAATATTTATCAGTCAAGAAAATCATCCATTTTTAAAAAATAAAATTAGCTAAATATTTAAGCATGCTGATGTTATTCAGTGTAAGTAGGCAATATATTAAATGTTTATTTATTTTTTTCATTTATATTCCAGAAGATGGGAAATGAAGTTGTGGAAAGCCAACAGCTTGAGCGAGTAGAGATGTCTATTCAGGAACGCAAGCAGCTCATCACTTCACAAGAGGAGGCCTGGAAAGCCAAAGGTTACGGAGCAGCCAACGACTCCACTCAGTTTACAGTGGCTGGACGTATGGTCAAAAAAGGTAAATGATGGTGCACACATACAGATTTATATCCTATATCATTTAATGTGTAATTTTAAAATAGACATGACCAGGTTGTATATTAAAAAAATTAGAATTTACCATTCATATTTGATGGTTAGAAGAACAGAGAAATGGATGGATGGATGGATGGATGGATGGATGGATGGATGGATGAATGGATGGATAGATGGATGGATGGATGTAGGGATGAATAGGACAGATGGATGGATGGATGGATGGATGGATGGATGGATGGATGGATGGATGGATGGATGGATGGATGGATGGATGGGACAGACAGCTGTATGGATAGATAGATAGATAGATAGATAGATAGATAGATAGATAGATAGATAGATAGATAGATAGATAGATAGATAGATAGATAGATAGATAGATAGATAGATAGATAGATAGATAGATAATGTTTAATTTTATTCAATGGAAATAAAACAGTTATGCTTTTTAAAACTTGCACCGTTAAGAAACAGATCCCAGCAAAATAATCTGTTTCCTTTCTCTCAGGCCTGGCAGCCCCTTCTGTTCTCACAAATCCCGTGTTGTCTCCTCTGTCTTCTAAAAACAAGAATACATCCCATACCATCACAAAACCACATGAAGGTGGGTTCCACATTCATAGGTCCTGTTTTTACTTGGTAATAAGATGCATTTTTATCAATTCAAGCACAAGTGGATAACAATAAATATGTGTACATTTGACTACTTGCAGATGTCATCAAAAACTTATTTGATGTAATTGCTTTTGTAGTGTAAATGCACATGGGGTTAAACCAATGCAAGCCACAACCGATAAGAAGGAAATCCAAACACTAGTAGCACACTTGAATAAATAAATTAGAAAACTTTATTGTATCTCACTGAAAATGTCTGTTAATACCAGGTGGGTCCAGAGCTATATTCAACCTATGTTATTATCTTGTCCTGCTGCATGTTCCTCTAATCAGATTTCCTGTCCTTTTTCTATTGTCTTTTTTTAAAAATGTCTTCTTTCTTTCTATTTATATCACTGCTTTCTTTTCTTCTTTAGAGATTGAAGTCAAACAGAACATGAAGCTGGAGTCAGACATGAAGTTAGAAAAGTTGGAAACATTCCTTGGTCGTTTGAATAGTAAAGGTGAGTGTAATTTTTTTTAATTTGCTTCACCAAATTAATCTTTAAATCTTTAAAATTCTACTATTTTTTTAAGACAAACCCTTTAATGAAACATATTTGAATAATTCCAGAAATTATATCACGTTATCTGTAAAATATTGTCTGATGTGTATTTAGGGACATCATTTCAGTGATGATATACATTTTGTTGTGGTCAACTCTGTTACATTGGTTATAAAAAGCATGAGAATAGAAATAAAAAAGCTTCCCTTGGCAGGAAACTCTAAAAGGCATTGAGGCATATAATTCATTTTTCTCAATAGTAGATGAACTATTTAAGAACTCTGTTATTGTGATATTTCAGTGAATTTCTCACTCACAAAATAAAATGATGAATATTTATAATAAGTTAAACAACAATTAGCAACAGAATTAAATGTCCCTTATCACATTAAAGCATTTAGCATTATATTTCATTAACAGTGGGTTCACTGGAATGAAATAATGAAACTCTGGAATGAGATTTGTGTTTAAAAGCTAATTATTTCACATTATTTCCCTCCTAAATATTGTTAATTGCATGTTATTTTTATTTTATTTTATTTTTTAGTTCCAGGACTTCAGGAGGCCACAATTGCTGTCACGGAGAAGTCTGTAAAAGAGGTCATGACTCTGGACGATGAGGTCTTTGATAAGTTTTATCGACATGCAGAGGATATGGCAAAGTTCACCAGCAGAGTGGAAATTAGTGATGATTTTGATGACATCTTTGGAGTACAGCTGCCCAGGTAAAGATTATAATCAGTCTCTATAACTAACCAACTATATACAGTTGAACTCAGAATTATTAGCCCCCCTGGATTGTTAGCTCCCTTATTATTTTGTTCCCCAATTTCTGTTTAACACAAAGAAGATTTTTTCAACACATTTCTAAACATAATAGTTTTAAAAACTCATCTCTAATAACTGATTTATTTTATCTTTGCCATGATCAAAGTAAATAATATTTGACTAGATATTTTATAAGACATCTATACAGCTTAAAGTGACATTTATAGGCTTAACTAGGTTAACTAGGCAGGTTAGGGTAATTAGGCAAGGTATTGTATAACGATGGTTTGTTTTGTAGACTATCAAAATATATGGCTTAAAGGGGCTAATAATTTTAACCTTAAAATGGTTATTAAAAAATTAAAAACGGCTTTTATTCTAGCCAAAATAAAACAAATAAGACTTTCTCCAGAAAAAAATATATTATCAGACATACTGTGAAAATTTCCTTGCTGATTAAACATCATTTGGGAAATTTAAAAAAGAAAAATAAATTCAAAGGTGGATTAATAATTCTGACTTTAACTGTATATTGTCTTGTTGACCAATGTTATATGCTGTCTTTTTGACATACATTTTCTATTTACAGCTTTAGAAATAAATAAAAAGAGATTGAGATTGAGGTCTCTGACATTTACATTTTTTTTCTTTTAGGTTGACTTCGGAAATGGTGCAGCACAAGCGGGCAGTTCGGCCTACCAGAAATGTTCAGTCATCTAAAAACCCGCTGAAAATGCTGGCTGTTCGGGAGGACATCAGACATGAGTACACGGAACAAAGACTGAACATCGGCCTTCTGGAGAGCAAGAGGATGAAACAGGAAAAGAGTGGGTGATGACTAGACATGGCGCAGTATTCACATATTCATAATCTTGCACTGTGTTGGGACCCAGCCTAGCTGACCTACATTTCAGTTCCTCATTTTCCTGCCGTTCAGTCAATGTTATGCTGACTTGAGTCATACAGTATTTGCACTGTGTAATACAAATATACAATCATGAGTTGCTATTTCTATATTTAGTCTTTAAATGTCATATTGGATGTCTTTCTGAACATTTGAAATCCATTAATGACAAACAACAGAAAAACTAAATGTAGGCACAAGCACATAGACATTAGTTTATTCATTCATTTTCCTTTGGCTTAGTCTCTATTTTAGAGGTTGCCTCAGCGGAATGAACTGCCAACTATTCCAGCATATGTTTTTTTAAGCAGTAGAGGCCCTTCCAGCCGCAACCCAGTACTGGAAAACACCCATAAACTCTTGCAACTACACACACACACACACACACACACACACACACACACACACACACACACACACACACACACACACACACTCACACTCATACACTACTTTATATATATATATATATATATATATATATGTATGTATGTATGTATGTATGTATGTATGTATGTATGTATGTATGTATGTATGTATGTATGTATGTGTATATATATATATATATATATATATATATATATATATATATATATGTATATATATATATATATATGTATATATATATATATATATATATATATATATATATATATGTATATATATGTATGTGTGTGTGAGTGTGTGTTTCTTCACGCGCAGTGCTGCAATTTGTCACACGCAGTCACGTGCTGTGCTGCAGCGCCAAATGCTGCCTTTTCTTTAAAAAAAATAATAATAAAAAATTGTCCTTTACGCAATATCCACCAGGTGGTGCAGGGAACAACCGCTTTTGTATTGTCTGGTTAGTGCAAGCGAACAACCCCAAAATCAAACAACCCGCTCAGGGGTGCGTTTCCTAAAACCATTATTAGCCCACAAAGGTCGTAAGTTTCATAATTATTATAAATAAATACAAGGGAAAGAAAACACATAGCTATTGGTTAGTTTAAATATTCCACAAAACACCTTATAGGCTCTTTTTTATTTTTTGCTTAAGATCGCCCTCATGTTTCCCTTATAAATTTAAAGGTGTTGCATAAATGAAGTAGTTTTATTTTAAATAGTGATTGTAATGAAGTTTACGGCCCCCTGACCACCGCGAAGGAGGCGGAGAACCGACAAAGTTTTACATAATTTGATGAGGAAATTAAAACAAACACGGAGACTGCCGTCTAAACCAAAACAAAACACAACATAACATAAGTGTCTCCAGGCCTGGACCTCTCTCAGCTTCCTCTGCCATCGTTCCTCATCTTAAAGTCCAGAGCTCCTTCCGTGGGATTCGAGGCCGGTGTACGTTACAGGTTATTCACTTAAGCCACGGCCTCATTCCTTTCCCACGGCCCTCTGCCCCACCCTTTCACTACAGTGATATTTATTTGTTGCGTCCTCCAATTTATGATGTTTCAATAACGCATAATAATAATCTTTACACAACATTGACGACACAGCAGCCAACATTTGTTGGCAAGTTTTTGTCACATTTAAAGGCGTGTTTGTGCATGAAATGTGCGTGTTTAGATGCACTGTGAAGTTACCATATTTGATTAAACAAAAATCAGTTTACATTTAATTATTAATTTAAATTAATAATTGACATTAAATTTATTTAAAGTAACTAAAGAACAGTTATATTATTAAAAAACTACCCACTTTGCATAACTTTTTTTTGACAAAATATTTAGCAGGGAAACTATATTTAACAGTGTAGTATTAATAAATGTTTAATGCGCACCAAATCAGCTTTTTTAATTGATTTATGACAGATCATGTGACAGTGAGGCCTGGTGCATGAATAGTTGAGAACCACATAAATCAATGACATTTGTAACTTTTTACATTTGTAATGACATGTAAATATATTCAAGTAGACAACAGTTCATTGAAGAGGTGATATTTAACTCTATTTGCAATAAAAAACAAACGTAACTTTGAGCATTATAATCTAAATTTTACAAAAGTATTATACATTTTTACTCGCCAACACAAACACAAAGTATGTTATGCTGACACTAATACTTCTCTAATACACTCTCTCTCTATCTCTCTGTTTTCTTTTTCTCTCTCTCTCTATTCCACAGTGAATAAGAACAGCGGTTTCTCTGAGGTTGCTCTCGCCGGATTGGCCAGTAAGGAGAACTTCAGCAGTGTGAGTCTGCGAAGTGTGAATGCCTCTGAACAAAGCTCCAACAACAGTGCCATGCCCTATAAAAAACTCATGCTCATTCAGGTCAAAGGTGAGTGACAATGACAACAACAGCTGTTTGTGTCTTAATTAAAGACTAAGAAGCCCGTTATACCGATTCATCATCCATTCTGACCTTGTTTGGGCTCAGCTTCGTGCACAGCTATGTTAGATATGAAGAATAATGTTCTCTGATTAGCATCCAGTCATATGGAGTACGCTCTATCTGTGTGTTTCTGTACAGACAGTACTTATTTGGCAGCGAGACAGCAATGAAAAGGTGCTGTTTACTTCAAAGTTGGAGGGAAAACATCTGTCCTAATATTGCATGAGACCTGCTGGTTTGGTAATAGGGACTCGTGTCATGAGTGTAGATACCATTTCCTCATAAGGTGTCTCTCTCAGTCTATCCGTATGTGCGCCATCCCAAAACAACATTCTGCATATCCCTTAATCAAAACAGAGAGAAAGAAACCAGAGGCTGTAAGAGAACAACATATGAAGAGTCCGAGAACAACAGCGTATTACGTCCAACTCTAGCAACATTCTTCTGTTTTGAATTGTTTTTATGTTTTATAATCTTGTAATGTTATATTTCATTGTAATGCATTACAGAATATTATAGGATAATGCTTTTCTGAGGTTTAAAATTCAACCATTGCAGATAATTTTAAGTTTTGGCTTCTTATATCAGAGGGTTTTAGTATGTGACTCACTAATATTGGCCCTTTTTTCTGTGTGTCGTAATTAGGTCGCAGGCACGTTCAGACCAGACTGGTTGAGCCCAGAGCTTCCTCCTTGAACAGTGGCGACTGCTTCCTCCTGATCACACCACATCATTGCTTCATCTGGATTGGAGAATTCGCTAATGTTATTGAGAAGGCCAAAGTAAGTGTGTGAATCTCATGAATCTACTCCAAAATGTTACGCATTACTTAAAAGTATTATTATTACTATTAATAGATCAAAATCATGTAAAGCTTAACAGTCTTCCTCACTTTTTGAATAGAAATGTTCAAACATTTGTATGTGTTCAACTTTAAACTGTTGTAAATGTTGGTAAAAAAAAGCTTAAAAATCTAAATAAAAAAGAAGTTATGTACTTTAATTTCATAAAAATAATAAAACAATACATTTGTTTTTGATTTTATTCAAAATGTGTATTTTACAAAATTAGTTTTTTCTTTAAATTGTACAAAATCAAAACAAAATAGTTTATATCTGTAAGTTTCGGTAAGATTTTGTTTGGCCGTAGTACCAAATAGGGTTGGGTGAAAATTATTGAATATTTTTTAACAAGACATTTAGGAATATTATGATTTTTTTAATTTAACTATTTTAATTTACCAACATTACTAAGGCAAGGTTCATTTTCGCATATGTGGTGTTATTCTGACCTGAACTGACAAGCTTGCATGTTGTTTCCTTCACCCTTTACAATTTGGCTTAGCGCTCGTGCTCCTTTGGAGTCTCTTGTAACTAGGCGACCATCCACCCTTTCCTCGGAGGATGACAAATGGACAAACAGTTGCTGCAGCTCTGATGCAAGTTCATGGAGAAAAGTAAAAAGCACTGCAGTGTTTGGGTGCTCTGCGTTTGAGATATTTAGTCCGGCATTAATACTGAAATGTGTATTTTCTACTTGGATGAATCGCGGTGCAAACGTGACATTTAGAATAGTTGGCATTCAGATGTTTTCAACTATGTGCGGCTTAAAAATACGGGTGCGTCATGTGTGCGCCACTCACACAGCGTGCACACCACTCTCATACATCATGCAAGTCGCCCGTCTCCATTGGAAATGACAAACTTACACCCTAAGCTTAAAAGCATTCCTTCCAAGGCGCACCCTCAGCAGCCACATTTTAATAAAACTATAGCACTTTATAACGGATCTTTTGTTTATCAGTATTGACAATGGTGTTCGGTTTTATCGAAGTACCAAAGTACCAAACACGTTTCCATTGGTAACTATATAAGGGGATCCCAATTTC